TCAGAGGGGAACGCCCACTAGTTGAATTCTGACTTTAATCTCAGAGTGGAACGCCCACATCATAGATAAAACATACTCCCTTAGTAGATTTCTCATCCTTATGGAACAGCTGAAGCCAGTTTTATTATTAGTTCTGTACGGTTTTCTGTAGATGTCGTGTTTTGTTTACAATTTGTTTCCCGTTATCACAGCCATTTTAAACCTCGTTTAACCAAATAATACGATCTAATCATAAACAATAACTTGTCCCCTAGTTATATAACCAAACAGTAAAGCACAAATCAAGAAATTAACCCTAAAATAATGGAAACAAAGTTTCATCGACACTAGCGCCTTTGTGTTACTTACATGAACTAGACACGAAAAGCGTGCTTCAAAATTTACAATGGGATGACAAGTCTACTTGTGTTGGTTAGTCTATGCCCACATGTTATATTCTGACTTTAAACTCAGAATTCTAAGTTTTTTCTCAGAGATTAAGAAAAATATTTTTTTATAGTTGGTGGCCCTTCAGCGCCGTCGTAGCTAGTAATACTATAGGCAACACTAATCCTGAAATAAAAATTCAGCAGAGGGGAAAGGAACACAGGAGACCTTGCCGTCAGACCGTCACCGCCCTTTTTTTCGTCTGTCTAGAAACGGGACAGCAGAATTTGAAATCGGAACAACGCTTCCCCCACTACTGCGCTTTGCCAAACGCTTCCGAATCTTACCGAGCAGTGCCGAACTTAAACGTCAAATTCAATGCTGTCTGTCGCGTGGTCGCGTGGTGTACTTAATCGTTTTGGCTTGTCTTGTCAACAATGAATGTATGCCAGTGCCCAGTTTTGTGATAAGAGTTTTGTTAATCGGTGGGTTTTGTCTCGACACCTTCGTGAAATACACGAATTCATTGAGGGGGACAAGTATATGTAAAAAATAAGTACTCATACTGTGAGTACTTATTTTGGCTACCTACGATACAAAACCAATGTTAGATTTTAAGGTAGAATAAAAGAACGTGTTAAATGGTTTGCACTGTAAACAAAAAAACTATCACAACAGTTACAAACCGAAAAATAGAAACAAATAGGAAAATTGAAATAAATATGAAGAATAGGGTAATTTTTTAACATATTTTATCGAAATTATAATCAGGTAAATGGAAATTCACTAAGTCTATAAATCTGCTGCGGCAGGGGGATTATATTGCTGTTTACACAAAAATAAAAATAAACCTCATAAAACTCAGGATAATGGCTTGGCAATGATTATAGAATCTTAATTATTTCCTATATCCATGAATGATTTCTTTTACAACGAATTATTGCCTGTAAAATATTATTACAGCATTTCACAAATATTAGAACAGACTCAGTATAATAGATCATAAACATAAACAAATGGTGTAACTGATGAAATTATATTAACATATGGTTTGACAGCTCCATTTAAGTAATGTTAAATAATGTTTACATTCGGGCTAGTGACATCATTATTTCAAATTTGTAATCCTTACCCTCTCTGTTTTAATATTCGTGCAGTATTTAATATGTTTGAACCAGCTGTGTGGAGTGGAATTGTGAAATCAAAACTCATTTGACAGTTAATTAGTTCTGCTTGTTTGTATTTTTAAACTTTGTAGGTTTGTTCTTTGTTACCATGGATACCATCAATCAATATTTACTTTTAAATCTCTCACCTCAAATTTTTGAAAGCCCACTGGGCAGAGCCCTAGGACAATATCGAAGCGGGAATAGTTCTATATGTATCCTCGGAACTGTAGCTTCATGTGTGTGCAATTTGAGCCCAGTCGGTTCAGTAGTTTTTGCGTTATTGAGTAGCAGACAGACACACAAACACACACCATCTCATTTTTATATATTAGTATAGATAATACATTTTAATAATTTTTCCCCCAATTTTAATTTAATTTATATAAATGTCATCATATTTACTTATCGTTTAATTTAAAACAGATTGTAAGCAAAACTTTGCAAAAAAAAATATATTTAATAATTTGTAATCATTAGGTAATTAGTTGCTGAGATGCCCACATGAGTTCTCTGTACTTCAGTGTGTGTTTGGTTATTTCAGAGGCCATGCTAACATGCACAGAAATTTTTTTTCAAATGCTTAGCCGATTTGTATTGATTCTTCACATTTCCTTAAGAATCTGACAAGGACTTAAATACCTGTTTATTGTTTCCTATTAAAACTGAACGTTAAAAATTACGTTTTCAATATTTCATTAGTATTAGGAAGGACTGATTTGTCTATTCCCGCCACCCATTTACCCATATACTTAAAATTACCTAATATATGAGGGTGCCAACAACTGTGTCTAAAATATGTAGTGATTTAGTTATTGGCACTACCTTGGCACTGCCAATAACTGTGGTAACTGGCGTGCCAATTACTGTGGTAAGTACACTAATGCCGATTGGCACTGGTAATTATTGTGGTTATTGGCATGCCAATGACTGTAGTCACTGGTAACAGGTGACACTGTCAGTAACAGCATTTACTGTCATGGAAGTCTCTAAGTTATCGTAACATGGTTACACGAGTATATGCTATTAAAAAAATTTATTTAGGCCAATATACTTAATTTATATATATAAAGATACAAAGCTTCACATAACTAATTTTTACCATATTAAAAAAAGGGTCAACCAAAAACCGATCCATCATATTATGTTTACAACCATTAAAATTCCGTCAAAAAGCCCCAATCAGGATCAAATACGTAACAAAGAGAATAAAAAAATATGCCTACAAAAGGTAAAATGTGAACGTTGTAATGAAATATTTCACAGGAAATATTTTGATGGCATTGATTACGACGAACCAATACCAATTAATATGTATAAAGACAGTATTAAATTCGGTAAAGGTGTTGCCAAAGAACTAAAACTAGGCCTACCATGAACAATTTTAAGGATTTTAATTTTACTTACTGTATAATTTTAATTTTTACTTCTATATACTATAATATGATTAGGCATACATCACGTAAGACAACAAAGACCACCTTAGGACGCTTAAAATGTAATATTTGTAGACTTTTTTATGGGTGCCAATAACTGTGCCAAGATGTGACAATAGCTATGGCTGATGGTGCCAATAACTATGGTTTTTGTATTTTTTTACATTTTCATTTTTTAATAAACTTAAGTAATGATATATATATTTTCTTTATAGATCCCAGTATTCTCAGTACATTCTGCTACATGATTAAAAAACGTAGATATTAAAAACGGTATTGCAAAGGAGCTGTGGTAGATTTCTCCGAAGCTTACCGTTAAGGTGCCAATAACTGTAGCATTTACCCTATCAACCATCAATTATAAATTAAATGAAATTGTAACAGCTGACACATTCTTATTTTCTAAGTTAAAGTTCTTGTTCTTCACATTTTTTTACTTGCCTTGAATTTTCATAATTTGAGTATTTACTTGAACAGAAGTGAATAAGCATGAGTATTTACTTGTACTTCTAAAAAGCCTTTCCAAGGAAGTATATACCCTCATAAACCTATAAATTTGGTGTGAATAACCACCAGCAAATACTTGCCTAAAGAGTAAATACTTGTTTTTCAACTAGTTATCAATAACCCATGCTTGTTTAAATTTACTTGTTGATAAATGCATGTAACACATTCAGTATAGTGTAATACACTTATTTAAATTATGTGTGACTCTAGTAATTTCCGCAAAATAATGCTTGGGTAATTGAAGATGGAATCTTTGTGGTATTCCTTCGTTATGTTCAAGCTATTTGTTAATGAAAATCCATCCGCAAGTCTCAATAATGCAAAACCTTCACATTTTACATGTTTAAATGAAGGCCTTAGACCTTCAACAATATATATATTTATCTATATTTATTTATTTAATATATATATATATATACTTGTACTGTATAATGTTTACTTTAAAATGGAGTACATACTTGCAAGTATACCCTCATCTTCGATAGATCAGTGAGTATACCATCTCATTTAGGAAGTATTTACTTGCAAGTAAAGAGTCGCTTTTATTCACAAGAGATTACTTGAACGACGAATACTCGCAAGTATTTACTCACAAGTGCTGTACTTGTATTCACTCGGCCCAGTGGTATGCTAGTGAAATCTTTTACTGAAATAAAAGTTTTTGAACTTGAACACACACACTGACATCCCAGATATTTTCACAGAGTTACTGGTACCTACAAACATAAACGTAGACCCATGCTGAGTAACTTGTGACACTGACAAACAAACAAAATAAACAAGTAGGCCTATAGAAAATTCACAATAAGATATTTCTCATTTAAAATAGCCAATTTTTTGTGTTCATTTTGTTGTTACAGTTTCCAAGATGAAGAAAATATGTTGTAAATAAATGTAAATATTATTTGTGTGTGTGAGTGTGTATCAATATATGTGTTAAATTGTTACATTTTAAGAAAAATTTATTTTGAAGACCAGAGGCCCATTTCATAATAAATTACAAACTAATATTATTAGTAAATCAGCTGATCGCTCAATGCAAATCTTATGGAAATTACAAGTTACAAGTTGTAACTTGTAACTTGTAGTTTATTATGAAATGGGCCCCAGGAATTTTAACACGAGGTATGTTACTAGTTTTAAAATGTTCACAGCTGAAAATAGGCCTACCTGTAAGCTATAATTTAGAACGACATGGAATTAAATTTTTTCTTTCTATACTTTTGTTATTTAAACAGTGTAAACAACAATTAATAAGAGTCAGGATTTTTATGTAATTCATCTTTATTTGGACTTATATAGTTTTTTGTAATTTTTTATAATTATTCTAGAAATAATTTTCAATTAACATATTTTGACTTATATTTAACATTAAACGGCTACTGTACTTTGTTCCCGCGTAATTTAAAACAGGCTCGGTGATGACAGAAACCCGCGATCAGATGTTCAGTTCGGATTCGGGACAATTCCGCTGTCCCGTTTCTAGACAGACGAAGGTGGGCGGTGACGGTCTGACGGCAAGGTCTCGTAAGGAACACTTCTTCTACTCTTCTCTGATGTTCTGTTCTCTCTCTCTGTTTTCTATCTCTGTCTCTCTTTCCTTTCCCTTCTCTTCTCACAACGCAAGGCTTACAAGACAAGTCGACTGTCGGGAACCCACGTGGAGTTCATACCAGGTAAGCAAAGAGTTGTATAGTTTACAATACAATAGTTTTCAATTTTTGCTTTTAAGAATGATACGGTATCTTAAAAATAACTTTTTTTCAGAAATATGGAAAACGACGCTGGAGAGTTTGTTGACTTGTACTGCCCTAGGAAATGGTATGTTAACCTCCCTATCAAACTGCATGTTAGTGATAGTGGTTAGTGGCTGTTAACTAGTTTCTATAGGCCTAATATTTTTTTATAATTTACGAATTGGCATACGATGTATAATATAATTTCACTCGTTCTGAACTGTCGTTTCCATTAAATCACGCCTGTAGTGTGGGACAATTAATGGCTGTAGGCTAGCGCTAGCATTTTTCCCCTAAAGGCTAGCCCTCATCTCACCATGTCTAGGCTATGCTAGCATACTAGGCACTGAGACAACACCTTGCCTACCCTACACTGAATTAGGCCTACATGTTTATCATGTTGATTAAGTCTTAAGTTACTTATGCAAAGGATAGAACGTCAGTAGGAAAATTAACTAGCAGTAATATATTTATCAGTCTCACATTATTGGCTTTTTGCTAGTAAGTTATCTTAACCCATCGAAGTTTTGCAATAATGTAAGTAGGCCTAATGGATCGCACCCTGGAAAGAGAACATTTACGGTGCTGATAACAAGCCGGTGCTCAGTAGGCTCCCCACCACCAGTGGTCAACTGAGTGGCCCTCAGCATTGTAGTACTGAACTTAGCATTGCAACATCCGACATAAGCGTACAGTTTCTTAACTGGGCTACGCTAATATCGATTGAAACTATCGATTCGATTAGTAAACCTTCATACGATTTTTTCACCATCAGCAAGTTTGGTTGGTTAGGTTAGGTTATGATAGTTTAATTTTATAATGGATATATTTTAAAATATCGATTATTAATCAATAGGTATTTTTAATTTGATAGTTTCAATCGATATTAGTGTAGCCCAGTTAAGAAACTGTACCCCCAACATAATCCAACATTTCATGTTCAATCTGTTCACTGAACATTTTAAGTTAACCCTAGCCTAGAGCTGGCATGCGCCCGATATCAGGCAAAAAAACCCTGGGCCGCAGCCCAGGTGGCATTAACAGTGATACATAAAACGCCGATTTTAACCTCGTATCTAATCTAATCTCACTTCGTATATTATGCATTTGATTCAGAAATAACCGGCCTTTCGATTAATATCCATTTCATCAGGAAATGCCTTTAGAATTTTTAATTCTTTCTAGGGTATTTTCTGACAGCTGATGCGGCGGCGTTGTTATGACGCAGTCGACATTTTTGCCGGTGCGTTGACTGTGTTTGTTTGTTTTGTATGCGTATGTTTTGACCCGTGAAACATGTGAATATCTTTGTTAGTGTAAAAACAGACAGCGTAGCGTAGCGCAGCGCAGCGCATGTTTTAAATCAAAACCGTGCATTGAAATGAGGTATGACATACTAGTAGCGTATTTCGGCGTAGCGCAGCGCAGCGTACGACCGAGGAACAAACTATTTTGTTTTTCTCAGAGCGTATTGGAGCGCATTCGACTGCAGACACGCTTTAAAGTCAATACTAGTCTCTTTTATGCACCAATTGGTCTCCTCCAATTAGTTGTCAGCTTCTCTTAATCATCCTTCACCAAACTAAATATGTAATCGAACGTTGTAGTCGACATTCTTGTGTTATTCTTAAACCGAGACTCATATTTCCTAAGGATTGGAAAAAGATGTATTCACCATGTTTGCCCCTGCCTTTACACACTTCATGCACCCCGAAACTTCTCCTACTGATCAAAACTGCCACCAGTAATTTATAAATAAAAAACTTTTTTAAAACAAAACGTTTTTAAACGCACTAAAAATTAGAAAATATTTTATAAATATGTTGAGAGGATAAATACTTGTAAGATTTAAAATGAAAAACGTGGGGTGCATGCAATAGATAATTTACAATTACCTTCACCTATTGAACTAATGTATTATTATCAATTAATTGCATGCACCCAACGTTTTTCGTTTTAAATCTTACATACTCTCAACATATTTAGGCCTATAAATTATTTTCTACTTTTTAGTGCGTTTAAAAACGTTTTGTTTTAAACAGTTTTTTATTTATAAATTATTTTCAACTTTAGTCTTTAATGTGTAAATATGTTAAATATATTTGATATGGCCTGTTAATATATAACCTTTGACTATTAATACAACAAACCAAAACCTTATTATCTCTAATCATATGTTTTATCTTTACTTTAAAATGCTTGTTTTATATTTTTAGAATATATCTGGAGCAGAACCTGTACCTCTTAACCTTTGCTCTTCGAACTGTCAAATTTAAGTATTCACAGCTGACTTAAATTAATTGATATGTTTACATTCTTTCAAAATGTAAACATGGAAAATGTGGAAGCCCATGGGGCGTATCCCGTGGGAAATGTGAAAATTAAATGATATAATATTGAATTGTCATCCATTTGTGAGCTATGTTTCAAATTTCAAGTCTCTAGCTCATCGGGAACTTTGTTTAAAACTTATATCAAAATTTGTAGGAAAGCGACTAGCGAGTTAATAAAAACAAGCCCATGGGGCGTAGCCCAAGGGAAATATGAAAATTAAATGATATAATATTGCATTGTCATCCATTTGTGAGCTATGTTTCAAGTTTCAAGTCTCTGGCTCATCGGGAACTTAGTATAAAATCGATTGCAAAATTTGTACCGGACAAGAAAGCGAGCTAATGTATTATTATCAAATTAATTGCATGCACCCAACGTTTTTCGTTTTAAATCTTACAAGTATTTATACTCTCAACATATTTATAAACTATTTTCTACTCTTTAGTGCGTTTAAAAACGTTTTGTTTAAAAAAAATTTTTATTTATAAATTATTTTCAACTTTTTAGTCTTTAATGTGTAAATATGTTAATATGGCCTGTTAATATATAACCTTTGACTATTAAAATTTTCGATATTTTCGACAAAACTAATACGAGTCGTCTTCGACAGAGCCATCCTCTATGCTGATGTACCTTTAAGACCGTCTACAACTTATGTTGCGCTACGCTACGCTGCGCTCTCTGTGTGTATTGGACAACGCTGCGCTCGGCTGCGCTACGCTACGTTGCGCTACGCTACGTTGCGCTACGCTACGCTGTCTGTATGTTTCTACACTTAGTGATTGAATATTGCTAAAACTATCGAGATCGGTTCAAGTGACTTGCGAAAATTAATTTATGACCCAATTCTTGCAAATTTCTAATTTTTACTTTCTCCCCCTATACCATACTTAATAGCCTATATGGAGAAAGTATTGTTTTCGTCAAAATTTTCGAGTTTTGAGTGATAGGCCTATCCGTTTTGGGTCCCCCTGGACCCAAAAAAGTGGTTTTTGTAGTGATGTGTGTCTGGATGTTCACAGAGCTACAGACCACACCTGTAGTCTGATTTTGATGAAATTTGGTATGCAGGTACTAATCCATGGCATCTTCAGGCGTTTTTTTTAGTTTTTTTTTAATTTTGATTTTAGCCTAAATGTAGATTTTCCCATAAAATCCCATAAAACTAGGATTGCTTTCATAGCAGTGAAAGCCAGTTGAGCGGTGCAATCATGTTTCAAGGTTTTTATTAAAGCAATAGGCCTAAATGAAAAATGTTTAGGCCTATAAATATAAGTTAATACATATACAAATGTTCCCACACTCTGCACTGCTAGCCTTTACTACTTCCTTCACCACTTCCTACTTCGTGGACATGTTTCCATCCCTTCCAGCATTTTAGGATTGCCGATACATTGATCTAACTGCCACAAAGGGTTTCCACATTCAGTATCTTTAGCCTTTAATATTTCCTTCACAATTTCCTACGTCGTGGACCTTTTTCCCTCCCTTTGTAGAGCATTTTAAGATTGCAGATACATTAATCTAACTGCCACAGACGGTTCCCACACTCCGTAGTTCTGAACTGCAGGTTCCTATGTCGTGGACCTGTTTGCCTTCCTTCCCATTTTAGTATTTTAGATACGTTAATTTAACAGTCCCAAAGCTATCCCGCACTCAGCATTGCTAGCCTTTACTACTTGAATCACCACTTCCTATGTAGTGGACCTGTTTCCCGTCCTTCCCATAGCATTATAGTATTGCAGATACATTAATGTAGCCTAACTGTCACAAATGGTTCCTACACTCCACAGTGCCAGCCTTTACTTCTTCCTTCTTCATTCATATATATATATTTACATATATGTGTCCGTTAGCACGATAACTCGAGCAAAAATGATCCAAGTTTGATGAAATTTGGTACAAACGTGTAAACCTATTTTTATTCAAACGAGTTCGCGATCCAGCATGATCGGACCATGGGAACGGGGGGGGGGGGGGTTTTATGGGGTAAAAATAGGTTTTTCCCATTTTGTTGCATACATAAAAATAGGTTTTTCCCATTTTGACCCAAAAAACATCAAATTTAGCAATTTCTTTCCAAACCATTTTGTAGAGCTTAAAAAAACAAATAATTTAGTATATTGAAGCATTATTATGGGCCTAATGGTTACGGAGAAAATTCCAAAAAATTGTAAATTTAAAAGTCCCATGTTATTCTTATGGAGAATAAGTAAACTGTTGTAGTTTGCTTGTTTATGTTTATTTTGATCAAATTTGGAAAATGTTTTTATTTCTTACTAAGTAGGCTATTAACATTTTACAAAAAAAAAAAAAAAAAAAAAAAAAACAGTTTTACCCTCCCTGATGCCCAACAAGAAAAGATTCGATCAGTGGCCGTTTCCAAATTGCCACTTAAATGTAAACCTAATACTCTCTCTGTATTATTTGATCAGTTGTCATCATCCAAATTTTTTCCCTTTGTTCTGTGTTTAGGTCATGGCTTGATTTTAACATATGCTATGATTATTTGTTTTTAGCGAATTTCCCATATAGGGAATTAGCTATTACCGTAGTACTCATGGTAAGACCTGGACGCGACCATTTTTTTTTTTTTTTGAGGTCCCTACAGGCCAAAATACCATCCGTTCAAATTCATATATATATATTTACATATATGTGTCCGTTAGCATGATAACTCGAGCAAAAATGATCCGAGTTTGATGAAATTTGGTACAAACGTTTAAACCTATTTTTATTCAAACGAGTTTG